TTTGGATTATCATTATCAACTTTATAAAGTTGAATTATCTAGCGTAAATAAGGATATCGACAGTCTATTAGATGAATGCGTGAAAATCAGAAGGCATTTCCAATGGATCCCTTTTGAAAAATTTACTAATGTTGAACATTTTGCAAAAGATATTTATAAAGCATCACTATACACTTACAAGTGGGATCATGAAGAAAATAAATTTAAACGATCCAATGAAAATAAACGCAAAGATTGTGTTGAAATTACGTGATTCAAAGCAAATTATAAAAGAGGTAAAAATTGTACAATTTTAATATGTAAACAGGGCTTCGTTTAATATAATTAAACTATTCAATAATAGGTTCGGACTGCTCTAAAGTACAGTGACGTTTACTTTGGAATTAGTTATTATGGAATAACTAAAAGCCCAACTGCAAATGAATACTCGGTAGTAATGGGTTATCCAGAAAAATATTACGACAGTGAATATGACGTTTGCAAATACCTTAGTTCCAATTACGATGAATTGACTTGGGAAGAAAAATTGAATTATTTACGGTATATTCTCGATGCTCTAGTGGAAATTTACGAAAAGAAACTTGTGGATCGCGAGTTTCACCTTGGAAATATATTATTACATATTGATGCTTTTGTTTCCGATTTTGACATAAAAAATCAGGAAATTTACGGAATGCTTCCTTATATGAGTCCAGAGATATTAAGTGGAAAGCCATACACTAAGGCTGCAGATATTTATAGCTTTGGGATGGTTATGTACGAGATTGTAACTGGTGAACAACCATTTGGTAAACGAAGTCATGATAGAGGACTCGTATTAGACATTTATAAAGGAGTACGACCTATAATACCAAACCATGTTCCCGGATATTGCAAATTTATCATTGAAAAATGTTGGGATCCTATTCCAGAGAACAGACCGACTGCTGTGGAGCTTGAAGACTTTATCAAATCTATTGAAGAAATCATTACATATAATCGGAGGTGGAAACCAAAAACTTTGCATTTTCAGTATTACAGTTCTTTAGAATATCCTAAAACAGATGAAGAAATTAAAGAGTGTATTAAATTAGAAAAGAAGAAATGGGAAGAGCTTGATGAGGAAATGAAAGCACAAAAAAGCATTCCTACGAATAAAAACAAAAAACAAATTCACTCAAATGCAGTTTACACCAATCGAATGTTTTTTACTTCGAAATTAATATCAATTCCAACTGATACAGGTACGCACGTTTATTCAATTAAAACGACATTTTAGATTGATTTAAATATCAAACATTTAGGTTCTACAAGTGTTAGTTTATATGTTCCAAATGAAGGTAATTCGCTATTTTCAAAAACTGTAGTAAAAAACAATATATTAAAATACTTGTTTTACATGTGATAAAGATACCGAAACCAAATTAACAAGCGCCAATTTATATGTAACTGACGAAGCAAATGAAGGTAAATCATTATTGATATTCTTTTCTGGTGATTCTTTAATTCATTACTATTTTCTTTATGATTAAACATCGGATGAAATTAAAGAGAATGCGGGTGACTTACAAGAAAAACTAAAAATTCATGTTTGTGATAAATGTACTCGTTGTCAAGTAAATGATCATTGCAATGAATGCTTTGATCATCACTATCAACTTTATAAAGCTGAATTATCTAGCGAAAATGAGGATATCGACAGTCTAATAAATGAATGCATGAAAATCAGAAGGCATTTCCAATGGCTTCCTTTTGAAAAATTTACCAACGTTGAATGTCTTTCAAAGGGCATTTATAAAGCATCATTACACTCTTACAAGTGGAATCATGAAGAAAATAAATTTCAACGATCTAATAAAGATAAACGCGAAGTTGTGCTGAAATTACGTGATGCAGAGCAAATTATAAAAGAGGTAGAAATTCTACAATTTTTAAAATACGTGAACAAGACTTTTATTAATATACTAAACTATTAAACAATAGGTTCGGACTGTTCTAAAGTATAGTGATGGTTACTTTGGAATAAGTTATTATGGAATTACTAAAAACCCTACTATAGATGAATACTCGATAGTAATGGGTTATCCAGAAAAATATTCTATCGATATTTATAGAAATGACTATTTTGATATTTTCAAATATGTTAGTTCTAACTATGATGAATTAACTTGGGAAGAGAAATTAAGATATTTACAGTATATTATCTATGCTCTAATGGAAATTCACGAAAAGGAACTTGTGGATAGTAACTTTCACCCTGGAAATATATTATTGTATATTGATGCTTTCAGTGAGTCTTTTAGTCTTACCGACCCAGCAGATATAAAAAATCAAGGAATTTACGGAATACTTCCTTATATGAGTCCAGAAATATTAAGTGGAAAGCCATACACTAAGGCTGCAGATATTTATAGTTTCGGAATGGTCATGTACGAGATTGTAACTGGTAAACGACCATTCGATAAGCGGATCTATGATAAAAATCTCGTATGCGATATCTATAAAGGAATACGACCTACAATACCAAAAAATATTCCCAGGTGGTGCAAATTTACTATTGAAAAATGTTGGGATCCTATTTCAGAAAACAGACCAACTGCTGAGGAACTTAAAGACTTCATCCGGTCTTTCTGTTATCCAGACGGTGATGATCGGAAATTGAATAATTTACATTTTCAGTATTGCAGTTCTTGTTCTTTAGAATATCCTAAAACTGAGAAAGAAATTAGAGCTTATCTTAAATCAAAAACACTGAAATGGAAAAAACTTGATAAGAAAACAATGTCGCTAAAAAGAAAGTCCATTTCGGATTAATTTTTAATATATTAAAAATTTAGGTTCTATAAGTGTTAGTTTGTATGTTCCAAGTGAGGTCAACTTACATTTTATATTCTTTCTTTTCATTTATTTCTTTAATTTAATATTTTTCTTTGGCGATAAAAAACAGATTTCGATGTTAGAATTAGCCTTACATGTGAAGATATCAACCTGCTTCAACTCCTCCCGTTAAATCACCAGCACCAACAGCGACAACCATTCCAGAATAAAGTGTAACAATTAGCAGCGGCGTTTATAACGTTCAGCATGAGAACATGAGGAGATAGAACAATTTCTCAAGTGTCTTAATACTGAACCAATTTTGGAGCAAAACCAAAAATTGGGCGATAGGCTCTTCCATAAGTCAAAGTCACAGTCAAGGTAATTTATTATTTATTTATGCTTATTACTATCAAATTCTGAATAATACAATTTAACAATTGAGGCCTTTGTATATTCTTATATTAGAGTCTTGGAATGAAGTTTCAGCAAGCAAACTAACAATGATTCACCTCGATACTAATGGTCTACGTGAATTGGCCCACTTGATGAACAATCCAGATAAATCCCGACTCGAACACTTCCGATATTTTTGTTTTATTATTTTTATATTTGTAGAAGTCAAAATAATTTTCTATATCAGACAAGCGTTACTCTATTATATCTATCTATTGGCCCTTATTATTAAATCCCCATTCATAAATAATAATTAGATTCAATATACTTTCCAATATATTTCCATTTTATTTCTTTTATTTTCTTATTATATAGCTTTCATATTATCTTTACTTATAAAGAAAAGGATAAAATTATTAATTACACAGAATAGGGAATAAGAAAACAAACTTTATATAGCACTATGTGGATCAGAGATATTATTACTTTACTATTATGAGACCAAGGATATCCTTTCTGCGTGTTATCTGCTCCCTTGTGGTCTATGGGGGTGAAATTGTGGTCAAACCCGGCTTCGGTGTTTGCACATCTCTGAATAGCCTTTATGTGTATGACCGTGTGAAAGTTATGTATATGGCGTGTCTGCACGTGTAAACTTCGCGTTTATGGCGTGTAAAATCTCACGTGTATGACGTGCATAAATACTGATGTCTCAATAACGATAATAATATTATTTATTTATTCCTCCCTTTAATTTTAAACCGCTTTATTAATAGACCAAGTATTTAACAGGGTTTTCTGTTTCATTTTTCGCTTTTTTGCCAAATTGATATTTTTTAATTATCTTTTCATATCAAATAAACCGCAGATTATAATTTGAAGAAACATTGTTTAATTCCAGTGTTTTGAGATAACGAATCGTGAAAAGAAAAGTTAATATAATTTCTTGGTTCGCTTTCATCTCATCAATCAACATCTAATGAAAGTAAATTTATTATATCAGCAAATGCAAGTCTGCCCATTACCACAGCAATCTTGAAATTATAGCGACAAAAGTGATCTTTTAATTTTATTTTTCGCATATCTGATGTAAAATAGAAGACTTCATTTGTTTAAATAATACCTTCGTTGATTTTTAATATGGGTAATCTTAGTTTTTAATAATTTAGACTGAGTCCGATGAATTAGTGAAAAATATTTATCAATTATTGTCTCAATAAATAATACACATAATTATATCAGTGTTCATGATTCATAATCAGTCTTACTCGTATATCGATATGTGAATAATCAACGTTGATATGAACTTGATTGACTTAAGAGTTAAATTGGTTGAGTTGTTAATTTCTTGTAGATGAAATTCAATCACAATACCTTTATGACAATTATGTGAAGCTTAAACCAGAGTAGGGAAATATCTTTCTCTGTGCCTGCAATAAAGTGATTTTAATTAACTTTAACCTAAAGATAAATTTTATTTTCAAATCTATTTGTAACGTGATGTCATTTTTAGCACATGTATCAACGTTTATCGTTACACATGTATATTGCAATATAAATTTCCAAATAAGGAATAAATATAAGTCACAATGGTTTATTGAAAATTGGTTGTTCTTCGAACTTAAATACATGTGCATGTAACGGGTAATGGTGTGTATATTAATTTAGTTTTTGATATATAATGAGCGAATTTTTGATTTTTTATGATCAAAAATAACTCTTTCTAGCTGAAATCTTTGATTATTCGTACTTTTAATCGAGCGTCTTTACCGAGTTTTGTTACACAACCTTTTGGAAAATTGAGAAATATGACATCTGAACGCATCGATATTAATACTACTACTGTCACCGAACTTAGTACTGAAAAGGCCACTTTTGCTGCTGGTTGTTTCTGGTAAGACTGATTTATTTTAATTTTATTCATATCTTTTTGACAATAAAAACATGTCTTATGATTATTCAAAAAGGGGTGTCGAAAAAGTCTTCAGAAGAAACTTTGGGAGTAAGCCTGGATTCGATGCTCGTGTAGGATACATTGGAGGAAAATCAGAAAACCCGTCATATCGTGAGGTACGAATTGATTCTCATTTTACTTCCTGATGATTCAAAAACCAAATACCAATAATTAATAAAAAAGAATAATATAGGTATGCAGCGGCACAACAAATCACGCCGAAGCAGTACAAATCACATTTAACCCCGAAAACATATCCTACGAAACACTAGTCGAATTCTTTTATAAAATCCACGATCCGACCACACAAAACCGTCAAGGTAATGACACCGGCACACAGTATCGATCTGCGATATTTTATCATTCTCCGGAACAAAAAGGGATCGCGGAACGAGTCACAAATTTCGTTCAAGAGAAATCGAATAACGAGAAAGAGTTGTATCAAAACCGAGAGATCACTACTGAGATTTCTGAGGCGGGAACATTTTATAACGCTGAAGATTATCATCAAGATTATTTGGTGAGTTTTTATTGAGGGAAAATTTTATTTGTGTTTTTTTATAGACGGATAATTGTTAATGTGATGTTTTGTTAATAGACGAAAAACCCACATGGCTATGAGGTAAAATTAATAATGTTTTTGACGAATTTTTTTATTTTTATTAATTTTTTTTTGATTTCGCAGTGTCCAACCCATTTTTTGCGATGGTAATCTTTGTTAGATGCATGAAATAACAAGTCATTCTTAAAAAAATGCCATTTTATACACGGAGAAACATTTTATTTATTGGTGTATTTAAAATAGATAGCATAATAAATAAAATTATAATATATATATAAAAAATAAACCAATTTTTACAATCTGAATCCAAAATGACATCGCGAACGTAATACCGATACATGTACATGTAAAAAGAAATCTGCAAAACATTATTCATTGATTTATTCATAAAAGAAATGTTAAGTAATTAATATCAACTATGGATTAATAGTACGTTAGGCCAAGGGAAAAAAATGAAATTATTATTCTTCGGCGAAATTTATTTCACTGTATATTTTTCAGACACATAAATGAATATAATAAAACATAAAAAGTGCAAATACGGAGAATTTTAGCAATTCAACTCAAAACGTAGTTAATTCTACGATAAACTTTCATTTAATATGAAATATCATTTTTTGTAATAAATTCGGTTGGTATGAGTGAATCTTTGCTTTTTGTTCATATTTTAGGAATGATTTCATCTTCTCATCAAGTTCTTTAATTTCTGAATCACTAATGTGTTTTCGGATTTCTAATGAGTTATAAAAAATACATGTAATGTAATCAGTTCGTACGTACATATACTGTACTCAATAAAAAAATTGGCATTGTAGGTCGTATTCATTTATCAAACGCATAAAATCCTGACACTCACAAATCCTGACTTCTTAACATGTGAAAATATTCTTTTCTTTGAATTTATGAACATCACCTGATAATAAAACTTTTGTCTTAGTCAACATATTCAATATCCTAACATAACGATTATAAAGGGTATAAAGGGTGAAATTTTGTATCATACCTTTATGCTTCTATTTATTTTTGGAAGGTTGGATATTTCAGAATTTTGGAAGTATTAGATTTTGGATGTTGAGATGTTGGAGATCGGAATTTTAATTCGCAACAAATCGCAAGATATGAATATTATCATTTCGATTATGGTATGATTTAGGATTAGATTCAGAGTGAGATTATAATGGATGCGAGAGTATATGTAAAATTTCGCAAGGAATATTTTTTATTAACGTTAAAATACACGAGATACATGAACATCGTTTGTTTGAATTTTTTCATTACACAATTATCTTGCAATTTGATTGGTTACCCCAAAGTTTAAAGGCGAGATATTGATTGGCTATTCTCAAATCATGTGGTGCAGATCAAATATTTGCCAGATATGTGGCCAAACTGGCTAAATGGTTTGTCCGAATTCCCAGATATATGATGTGGCTAGTCAAATCATGTGTGGCTTTCATTTCCGTTACACATTGATCTTGCGATTTGGTTGAGTAGGACATCGGCTCTAGAATATTTTAATTCTAACGGTTCATTGATTAGTATTCTTTTCAAATTTTCTATTTCTAATAATATATATCTAATATCTTTTTGTATTTTGACATGATGAGGTATTCTCATTTCTTTATTATTTTTCTTTACTAATAGAAAATGAATATATACATACCATTTTAAGATATTGGATTTCAAAATAATACTTTCATTTTTGTTATTTCAGGTAATATATTGTAGGAGTGTGTATGAGAATTAAAGATGGAGAAGTTTAAATTTTGTTCAAAACATTATTATTTTAATTAGAATTTAAACTATCTCAGATAAATATTAATGAATTATTTTTTCAAAATAAAATTTTAATTCTGTCTTATTTAATTAAGTTATTAGGTATTGGGATTTATTTAAATGTAAAATTTTTATTATATATCTTTTATAAAAAAATTTTACTAATAATAGCTTTTTTCAATTATTATTTCTTAAATTTTCTATATAAAATTTGATTAAAATTAATATAAAAATTATATAGTAAATAATTTAATTACTCAACTTTGAATCTTAATAACTTTATAATTACTGATTCAATTTTTATGAAATTTAGAATATATATTTATCAAATCTAGAGCAATCTGCTTGCATAATTTGAAGTTCTAATATTGCAAATTGATAGTGATAATATTTAAAACATCTTTTTTTTTAAAAAAAAATAATTTTATTTTAGTTTTTTTTAGTAAAGTAATACTTCAAATAGAGATGTCAGTGACTTGTGATAGCCAATTAGAGAATTGTGACTAAGTTGCAATATCATCTTTATTATTGAATTAAAGTATAATAGAATAGTTAAAATAGTATAAAAAGTTATTTGAAATCATTATTTTTTATACTTATTTTGATAGAACAAATATATTAACAATTCTTTTGCATAATAATTTTGATTTTTTATTCCAAAGAAGGTACCTCTTTTTTTGGGGGGGAATATTATGTGGTTTTTATTGGTTTTCACATTCATCAATTAAATTTTCAACAAAGATTTATTGGTGACTTTTCAGGGATATTTGACGATATGAATCCTTAATCGATTATCTTGAAAAGTGATCGTGATAGTTATCGGTCCGAAACTTATCAGATCTAAAATGAGAATCCTTTGTTCTCTGATTAATCAAGCAATGATCATCATACCGCTGTGGTTATTTCGGCACAAAGGATAATTTGTATTCTAAAATAACCACTCCGGCCATAAGGTTGATATAATGGGGTATGTATAATTGGTCCGGAGAGTCATCATATAAATAACCATCTTTCTAAAAAAGCCCAATATTATTTTTTTGGATCGCAAATTTGAAACTAACCTCGTGGTGCGATCTGGATAGTATTGAATTGATAACTAATAAGTTCCAAGATCTAAAACCTGAATGAGGAACAGATCGTAAGAGTAATTACCTAAAGACGAAGCAAACATGTACTTACGTACTATTGCATTTAGATAAAGGAGAGAACTTACGGTGAGGTTCAATATCCCGATAACTAGAATCCCAACAATTCATAAGCGACAAATGAAATCCCGAATTAACGTCATCCCAAACGATTGTATTTTATTTGCAAAAAACGTACCACCTTTTTCTTTTCTAGGTTGAATGAATCAGATCCCGGGTGGTTTGTGCGGTGACGACGTTATAAAATTCAGTTTTTTTATAACACAAATTCTCATTACATGTCCATGTGGTGATTCAAATTCTATTTGTGACAAACTCATATACATGTACATGTACACTCCGTAACCTGACAAAGACGTTTGTTTTACTATCATTTTAACCAATTCACCCATTCTATTCCACTGAACTCAAAGATGGAATCAAATACTCATAATGTGAAAAAAATATTTGAGCGGTATTTAAAATCAGCAGAGTTTGGATAGCCTCAAGCACAGTAGAAATTTTTTCAAATAACAGTTAATTTTTTAATTTTACATCTATTTTTTAGAGCATTTAAATTTTAAATGTGTGTAATTTACTAGCTCAAGATTAGAATATAGCTTAAATTATGTGTGTATGAATTTTAGAAAGAAAAGAAGTTTTAGATACAGATTATTAAAAATTTTACTTAACTTGATATCCTAATTAAAAAAATTTTATTTATCTGACAAATTTAGTTTTTTCTTTTTGAATAGATAATATTATATATATATATATATATATATATTTGATATGTATTAAAAAATAATATCTGAAGAAAATATCAAGTTAATAATTCAAAGTAATTATAATTTTAATTATATATAAAGATATTTATCAAAAATAATTTTTTTACAAATTGCAAAGAAATTTTATATAATTTTAAATATTATTTTTAGAAGATAATATCTTTATATTTAGTAAATCAAATTTAATAATTTTAATATTATTAGATATATCTTGACTAGATTTTTCTAATAATATTAAATTTATTAAATTTGATTTTCTTTTAAAAAAGTTAACTTTTATTATATTCAAATCTGTAAATTAATAGAAAAGTATAATAATTTTGATTGGATTACATTTAGATCTTCATTTTTCACTTTATATTACTTTATTTAAGAATTAATTTCATTTTAAATATACAGATAACTATCATATGTTAAATTAATTTAGATTAATATGCAGATAATGATTATTTATTTTCTAATTATATATATAAATTAATCTTATAAATATTTAAAATATTTTATATTATAAAAAAACTTATTATAATTACTTAATATTTAAACTAACTATAAAATTATTTTGTTAATAATTATAAATAAGATAAAATATAATATAAATAGTTTTAATTTATATAAACTTATAATTTTATTATTTGGATGATATTCAGATCTGAAGTTAAATTACAAAATAAATAGAATTTATTTATAAAAAATAAATAAATATAAAATATAAATAAATTAATAATAATATCTATAATTAAAATATATATGATTTAACAAAATTAATTAACTTAATTTATATCTTCAAATAGCAACTAATTATAATTCAATAATTATAAATGATATAAATAATAAATATAAATATGAAAAGATTAGTATATCAAATAAATATTAATAGATTATTTTTTCAAAATCAAATTTTGATTCTGTCTTATTTAATTAAGTTATTAGATATTAGGATTTATTTGAATATTAAAATTTTTATTATATATCTTTTATAAAAAAAATTTTACTAATATAAACTTTTTTGAATTATTATTCTTAAATTTTATTATATAAAATTTGATTAAAATTAATATAAAAATTATATAGTAAATAATTTAATTACTAAACTT